TCCCCAGTCATGTTTTCCAAGAAAGAAGACAAGTTTTGCATTCCCGGATCTGGAGGCTACGTCATCGGATTGTGGGATCTCTGCAAACACATAACTAAGCCCAACATACGGAAGTTGGAATATAGATACCTTCCCGAGCTGGACAATTACAAACGCGGCCTTGTGGATTTTTGCAGCAGGACCGATGACGATCTGGGAAATCGTCGACGGTATTGCCAATATGACAACAGAACAAGTGATGGTGTTCAAGACGAGGGAACGCCATTTACACTAAAGACATAGGAGATCTCGTCATTTTCCTCTCAAGGTCGTCTGAACCTTTCTGTGTCCCTGCTAGCTCCTTTCCTGGCTTGGAATCTAATTCTGTTCACTTCTTGGATTTTGACGAAATGGGATTTATCAACCTAGCTCGTTCCTTCCCCCTTAGTACAACTGGTACATTCCCGGCCCCTTACCATATCCCACCTCAAGATGTAATAGTCAAGAAGTAGCTTGGAAATGAGTTTGAGTCATGCATCCACAATTAAATCTTCACAAGTAGATTCAACTGTTAACAGTTGCTGTAACAGATCATATCTAATTACCACGTAATATTCTTGTTTAAGTTTTGAAGTTGCAACCAAGAGAAAAAAAAAGAGAGTATTGTAGACTTTTAAAATGAAAATCGTCTTGTTGGTATTGACTCTTTTGACTATGAATTAGTTTGACAATAATATTGGATTTAAAATATAGCACAACAATTAACATGCGAAAAATTGTTATGAAACTCAATATATAATTATAAGCCAGATTTATAAGATCATCATCAACTTGTTCTTCTTATTTGCTAGTATTGGGTGATGTAAATAAGTAATGGTTCTCAAGGGAGTTTGACTTTTAAGCAAGTGTTTTTGTCGATGAGAAGAGAGGAGGAAGAATCAGAGAGTATAGTGCAAAGAAGTCAGAGAGGCACGAGGAAGACCCGTAAAGATGGCCAGAAAACAGGGTTCAACAGCTTTCAGCTTCTTCTGAAACTCAAAGACAACCGCCTTCGTTAGATCCTAGACAGAAACTTTTTCCAGCTATTACAGAGAGACGCGTGGATAAGTCTAGTTCAGATTCAGACTAAAAAAGTACCCGTTTCGAATTCGCTAGATTAAAAAAAGTCTTGCCTATTTTGAAAAATAAATCAAAGACTTTCCGCAAAATTTTTAGAGTTTGGTTACCTGTTAGGACATAAAATCCTCTGCAGTTTTGCTGATAACTTCTGATAATCTTCATTTTTTTGGTGAGAGTAGTGGAATGGCAATTACTCACAGAGATGTCAGGTTTTAGTCACTGATCACTAGGGGTTTCACTGACAATTTCACCTTTAGTTTTAGAAACACACATTTTCATTTCTTCTTGTTGGCTATAGAAGAGTAATTATGTTTCAGTTATGTAACATTACTATCAGTTACGTTATAGTACATTCATTTTGAACTGAAAAAAGCAACCCAACTTTTGAATCCAAAAGTGCTTAGATTTCTTGTAGTATAAGGAACTTTCGTCGCATTGATTTAACTAAAAACTAGTTTACAGAAGCATCTTTGCAAGAGAATCTAGTTATCATATTTTAGGATAAAATACTTTGATATATT